CCTTGGGACCCTTGGGACCTTTCCTGGGACATATGTCACAAAGCAGAAAAGGAGTAGAAATTTCCAGTCCTTCATTGCAGTCCATGGAGGTCAACACACCCGTTTGCTCAGTGCTTCTTCTGTTTTTTTTTTGTTTTTTGGGGGGGTGGGGGGGAGGGGGGGCCTAATAACAACGGGCTTTAACTTCACAGCAGATGTCAACTTCAGCTAACTCGATGCTGTGAACTCGCAACGCACCAGACGATGCCGCTTACAAGCTGGATCGACCACTCCGGCGGACTGGGCGGGGAAGGTCAGGGGGAGGGTTTTAGGGGCACCTTGGCAGGGACGCTGTTCTTGAACGTGACAAGCAGCTCATCCTGTGGCCCTGCTATGATATCAAGCAAAAACGCTGTCACAAGTGACCGCTTCCTTTTCTTTCGGCAGGTGGCCCAAAGTGTGGCCCGGCTGTGACTTGAAACACGTATGCGGTCACAAGTGACCCAAAACGAGGTGTCACAAGTGACCCAGGTGACGTGGTCACAGGCGACCGGTATGCCGCTGACGCAATTCATTGCTGCCGGTTGGTCATACTGAACTCTCAGCCCCAATCGCCTTTGAACCGAAACTTTAAGCCATGGCGTCTGACGCAATGCAAAGGCTGTATGTTGCTGAGGGCAGCAGATGTAGTCGTACCAAATGAACAGCGGCTTGGAAAATATCTCCTTGGCGGAGATGCTGTTCTGGAGCCCTCTGTACCTGGGAGTTTAGGGTTTGGGGTTCTGCTCCTAGACCCTCCATGTACCTTCTATTAGACCCTAAATGCCCCTTATTTGGGACCATATACCCCTATTTGAGGGTACAAGGAGGGTCCTAGCTCTCTGCCCTTGGATTTTAAGGCAGTTTGAGGGCTCATGCGGCGTTGTCAGATTTTTGAGGGCGGTTAAGGGAGTTTAGGAGCTTCGGGTGTTTGGGTTTTAGGGCTCCACCCAGAGGTCCCAAAGTAGTTCCTTTTTGGGGTTACCTTATAGGATTCTATATATATGAACCACAAAAAGGAACTACTTTGAGGCCTTAGGGCTCCAGACTCTAGCGTCACAGCAATTAGGCTCCGCTTGATTTACTAAAGGTCCATGTGCTTACGTAGTGTATACCTTGGCCCTACAAGGGATCCTACACACATGTTTAAAATGCATGTATATATATATATATATATTTATATTTATATTTATATTCATATTTATATTTATATCTATGCATGTATATACACCTGCATATAGAGGTGTCTGGCCGAAGTTGTTGCTACATAGGCTCATGTGAAACTGGGGACTTATTGTCGCATCTACCTTCTTCGTGCAGTAACGCCATTGACACCGGTAGTGTACCTCAAAACAATGTTGATTCAGAATCCTACACGTCGGAATCCTTGGCTCACTTGGCCCCCACATATAACAGCCCAAGGTACCTTGAACGAAACACAAAGTATTGCTAAGTCAGGCCGGGGCTCAACTCAATAGAGATGTTGCCGGAAATATCCACTTTTCCGGTCTTCAGCGCTTGTAATGCATCCTGTTCCAATGTTCCAAGACCCTTTGAGCCCAGCCCAAAACCCGAAACCTTGAACCCAAAGACCACAACCGGAAATCCCAAACACTAAAGCGCAAACCCCGAACCCAAACAGAAGCAAGACTGTCAGGCCTGCAGGCCTTAAGAACATGCTGCAAAAAGACAACAGAGATTGGCAACTACCATAAAGTGTAGCTGTTGGAGTAAACTGTATATTCATAATAGAAAAGCGTATATACATATGCACATCTTGTTTGCCTACATGTATGTATGTATGTATGTATGCAAACAGATATATATGTATGTATGCATGCATGTATGTTTACATACGTACATACACACCTGTTACACACATACAAAGTGTGTATGTATGTGCATGTATATGTGTACATGTGTATATATATATATATGTCTATGTGCATATGTACTTGTTCTTTCTGCGTATATGTACAAGCATCTGTATACATGTATGTACTTGCGTATAGCATATGTACGTATGTCTGTGTATGTATGAACATACACACATCTACCTTACCTGCCTATCTGTTTTCCTATCTTCGAGGTATCCAGCGATCTACCTACCTGCCTGAGTGTGTACTTCGATGCCCAAAAGCGTTTAAAGTGCATCTAACTGAATGCACATGTATGTATTTCTGAATGAATGTATGTATGTACCTACGCAGGTATGTATGTATGTAGGTAGGTAAGTATGTCTGTCAGTATAGAAGTAAGTATGTTGAAATAGCAAATGAAGCATATTGAAGATAAGCACTAGAGTCACTAGAAATAGCAATATTAGCTACAACAACAACATCGGTAGCAGTAACAGTTCTTATGATTAGAACGATAATGATAATAAATGAGCGAGTGAGTGAAGCAATCATTAAACCAACGGACTTATAGAACAGTATAAATAGAAATAAACATCAATACGTACATATAAATATACATATATATATATATATACATACGTGTGTGTGTGTGTGTGTGTGTGTGCGGGCTCCTGTGCTTGCTTATTTAGTATTATGTTGTTCTGCTTATCTACCCATGTGCTCTGTCTACACAGATGCACCTCGGTATTTCTCAGGGAAGACGGTGTCTGCAACTTTAGGCTCCTATGTTGCAGCAGGGGGGGGCTTTTGCATCAGCTGTGACGCATCGGTAAAACTGTGGCCTTGAGTACAACGAACTGCTCACCGGCGATGTCTGGGTGTTCTGTGCCTGCTTACTTTTCAGTTTAGGGTTTATGGTTTTGGGTTCAGGGTTTAGGGTTTAGCAACCTTTTGGATTGACGGCTTAGGGCTTGGGGTTTAAGGTTATGACATGGAACTTCCCAATTTTACGCATCAACACCTCTCACCCCCTGTGTAACGGCGGGATCCCAAGACCCGCAACCTTAAAACCATTACGATCAAGGAAACGGAACCTGATCGAGACACGCGTGGTTTCAATCACCCTGGACCTTAGCTTTCTAAAGCACGCATGTCTGGGAGATTGAATGATACAGCTGCAGCATGTCCGTTGTTGTTGCTTAAGGTTCAGAGTTTAGAACTTACAGCTTAGGGTTGCGAAGATGTCCTTGCCCAAACCAGTGCCTGTCCATTGATGCGAGACAAACATAGCCTGGCGGTTGACGGTTCAGGGCCAAGCGCATTGCGTGCTCCATGTTGTCTGAAAAAACGAAAGTGAAGTGAAAAGGGCTTAGGGTTTGGGGTAGGGTTTAAAGGTTAGGGTTTATAGGGTTTAGGCTTAAGTTCATCTCGCCACCAAGCCGCATTACCCATGCCTTCGTCATATTCAACTAGCACCCCATCGTCGAGCAATGTTTCGTAAGCCGCCGGCTTGGACATGCTCAACAAGATCTCCAACGGCACCACATACCTGTCGCGACTCCAGCCCAGTGGCACCAATGAGCAGTTCAGGGCGCGGAGAGTATGGGCACTACGCGCATGTCATGTAGGCTAGAGATGACCCTTCCACTAGCTAGTTGCAAAATCATCTGCACCCCTATACCTAGATAAATCTGGCCCTGTATCAAATTTTCGGCATTCCCCCCGCATTGCAAACTGCTGTAGCTTGCTGGACAAGCTCTGATCTGCAGCGTCACGAAGCTGTTGGGCATAGAGTTCGAGAGCACTGCTTCGTGCATTGGCACAACATGGGGCGAGCATGGCGACGGTAGGAGGGCCGAAGAATCCCGTCGTGGAGTCCAAACCTACTCTGCCACACGCGCAAAAAACTGCAGCGAAGGTAACGCATGAGGGTTCGTAGTTTAGGGTTTTAGGGTTATGACATTTAAGGTCAGGCTTCAGGGTTCAGCGCTCCCCGCACAACCAGGGTGCTATGCAACTTAATTAGCACTTTCATAGGAGATACTGCTAATGCAGGGAATCCTGCAATATCCAGTCTACGGCCCCTAAACACCCTAATGCCATTATCCAGTTGTTGACGGACAGCTTAGGGCTGTGGGTAGCCTACAGCCGAAACCCAAAAAGCACCGAAAACGCAATCACCCACATCGGGTTTGGGTTCAGGGTTTTGGAGGGGTTCATCTTGACATAAACTTAGCAACCCTGAGCCCTCTGATCTGCAATTTTACAGAAGCCATCAGTGTTCAACTAGCCACGTAGGGTCCTTATTGTAACAAAACCCTACGCTCTAGCCTGTGCACCGTCCAACTCACCGATCCACTTATGTACTTGGGGGTCTACTACTGCTACTACTCCTGCTACTACTAGCGACCCCTGAACCAAACAATCTTCTTCCAACTGCAGCAAGGATCCTGTAAAGAGGACCTTAATTGAGGGATATTCTTTCAAAGGAGATAAGGTCCTTAAGGCGGACATTTGATTAGGAGACATTCTTAAACTAGACCGGGGATCCCATATCATCTCACCCTAAACCCTAAACCCTAAGCCCTATAGATCCCCTTAGCAAGGGAAGGGTTTAGGGCTTAGGGTTGGGTTTAGGGTTTAGGGTTTCGGGTTGTTTAGGGTTTAGGGTTTGATTCTTCTATATGGATCAGGCATCTTCAAAAGAAGCCCTTGTCTTCAAACTCGGATTGGGATCCCTCAAACGGACGCCCAATCGAGGCATACTGCTGATGGACAAAATCCTGCATTGCCCAATATAAGGAAGATACCGTAGTTACCATAGTTTAGAATCCTTAGGGTCGTGCAGGATTTTGTCCATCAGCAGTAGTCTACCAGGCCCAGAATGAACCCAAAGTTACCAAAGCACCTTATATGGTCAGAGATACTCGGGTTTACAGCAGAAGCCCCAAAATAGCCTCAATCCTTAAGAGCAATGTGTAGGGAATCACAGCACTATTTGGCCTTCATCCGGTTTCCGACTTTATGGGGTTGACTGTAGGACAATAGCAAGATCGTGTATAATGATTGGAAAGTTTATGATTTATGTCAACACTTGATCAACAAACCCTATAAAAGGGCTTAGAGCAGGCTGGGTACGGTCCCCACAATCAAGGAACTCAACAAAAAGGAGTTTATGCATGGCGGGTCTACATCAATCAGGAAACGGAGCGTTAGGATACCCTAAACCCTAAACCCTAATACGACATATCGGAGTCTCTGGGAAGCGTAAGAACCAGTCCTGGCACTCGGCATCTTTTCACGCACTGCAGCAGCTGAGCGTTGGGGTTTAGGTTTCAGGGGTTTAGGGGTTTCCTTGTTTAGGGCTTAGGGGTTTAAGGGTAAGTACTTATAACCTGACCTACTAAGTCCCTTGGACACTAAAATCCTTGCCGAAACTGTAGGAATCCTACAAAAACCAATAACCTCACCTGCTCAGTCCGCTGATCCTCCCGGCAAGAGCAGCTGTGACAAACGAGCTGGGCCTCAGCTAAACGACCAGTTCAGGGATAACGGTCGAGAGGCTGTTTGGGCCGAGGTTGTAGGGCAGCGGTTCCACCTTAGAGCTTTACAACATTCCGCTGTCAAGCAGCCCCAGATACTCATCTAAATCTGCTTAATCCAGAATGCTCATCAGAGCATTCGAGTTCCGACCGGTAGACACCAAAGCCAAAGCAAAACAAATTGGCATGTCTTCCCCCCATGTGACCAATCGGTAGTATGACTCAGCAACCATGCTCCCTAATAGCGGGTGATGTTGAGCTATCTGCGAAGTCGGTTGGTTTTCGGCACTTGCAGGCTAGATTTCACTTGCTCCTGTGCTAATCTTACTACAAGTAACTGTGAATCCTACATCTTGAACCCTAAGCGAGGACGTTGTGACTTCGGTAGCCCCTTGCGTTGACACAGTATCCCATCTTACCTCTGAGGCTGAAACCGAAACCGTAAACCTGGGATCCCCTTCCCAGGGTGCACAAGCTGTACGCACCTGCAGTTTGAATCCCAAACCTGCTGCCAAAGATCGGCTCCAGCATGTCAAGGCAAAAAACGAAACCCGACACTGACGGACCTAAACGGTTCAGACTCTACTTTGCAGATCTTTGCAGCAACGGTTTTTGGTGAATAAACTTTGTAGCGGTTGGGCTCACCGGCTTCTTGTAATTAAACTCTTAGTGTGCTGGTGTTTTCAAATACCTGACCTCAACATGGCCGCGATCTAGGTTCTTTGTGAGGGCAGGGCCACCTTACAAGACATGGCCCATCCTTTGCAAGGACGCTTGATACAGAACCTATTGAAACCCAGATGTGACCCCAGACTAAGGTGTCCATGTACCTATATTGTATACCTCCTTCCTTAACTGGGGCTCCTATCAGAAGATTCCTATATCCGTACTGTAAGGCCAACGTACATCGTTTTTAATTTAGATATACGACACCCTGAGCCCTTGTTCCTAAACACTATATGAGGGCTTCCGAAAAAAAAGATGTCCCTGATATAGTACCCTAAATAATAGGATCCTTATTGTAAGGACCCCCAAGGGCACTCGAACTGAGCTCGGCCGCCTTCCACTGGCCATGGTCTTTGACTGAAGCCAAGTTTGCACCTTTAGGCACTTCCCAAAGGGTAGAGTATACAATTTAGCCATACCGTTTCCTTTTAAGTACCTTAAAACCCTAAACTGGAGAACCCTAAGCCTCTAAACCCACCTCTATACCACTAAGCCCCTACACCCCAATGCCACAGCGTCATTCAGGCGAAAGTATCTAAATGGGCACATTGACTCTTGGGAATGACGGGCGGTTTAGTGGGTTTTAAGACCGCCAGCTGCAAGCATCAGCGGTACACATTCGGGAACCAGGAAGCATCGAGGGCTTAGGCTGAAGAACCAAGCTCCGGTGCGTTCTGCCTTTAGAGACTTCTAGTTGGTTGAAAGAAAACAGTTGCATATTTCAACACCGCTGTGCAAAAGTATGCAGACTTGCTGAGGTTGGAAGACAGAAGCTTCAAAGATAGTAGGGCGCATGGATATTGCAAGTTGTTTACCCCTACCTTTTTTCCATCCTGGCGTTCGGACGTTTGCCTCTTTACCATCCCAGTCACCAAATCCCAAGATCCCTGAAGAGCCCCAAAATCATCACCTCAATGCCATGCTTTAGCGTCTGGGGTTTCGGGATCTTCGGGTTCTCAGGAGTTTAGGATTTTGGGTGCGCCCGACTTCAAGCTGCGCAATGCTTGCTTCACTCAAAACACGTCCTTGAGGGCATACTGTGGGTATGTTTAGGATTGAGGACTCGATATCGACCTCATTTTGGAAGCCTCGAAACGACGTCCTTTAGCCCAAATACCCCAAGTCCAAAATTGCAAACCGTGAACTCCTTAGTACATCCGAAGCCCCAGATGTTCCAGCTAAGGTCTCCGATTGGTCCGTTATTTCTGGGGTCTAGCTATAAAAACCCTACTTGTCGGGTATCATGGGGAATTAAAGGGTAACTTTTTTGGTTATCTAGGGATTCTAAAGGGACTATACTACCCCAAAAAGGTTAAAGGTTACTTACTCTACTACTAGGATTACTAGGAAACCCCAAAAACCCTAATAGCCTTAACAACTCTAAACCCTATAACCGTAAGCTCGCTGAACCCTTCGCCTCCAATGATGTGATCCCGGCTTCCGCCCTGCGGCAGCGCGCCGCGTGCCAGGTGACCTGGTAAGAAGAAGCACGAGGAACTGCCAGCGCTTGGGACTCTTGCACCTGAACCCGGCCCTAAACCCTAAATCCTAAACCTTAAACTTCTAAACCCGAAATCCTAAAGCCTAAATCCAAAACTTCACTTCACTGCATGACGGCTCTAATCCTAAAAACCCCAAAATCCTAAACCTTAAACTCCTAAACCCGAAACTCCTAAGCCCGAAATCCTAAACCCGAGAAGCCTTGAAGTTTAGAGTCCGGGTTATCTAGGGTTTAGGGTTTAGGGTTTAGGGTTTAGGGTTTAGGGTTTAGGGTTTAGGGGGACTATACTACCCCAAAAAGGTTAAAGGTTACTTACTCTACTACTAGGAAACCCCAAAAACCCTAATAGCCTTAACAACTCTAAACCCTATAGCTCAAGACGGCAAGGGGTGGCTCGAGCTGCTCGTCTGGGGAACAAGATCCCAAATGTACTACGCTTGAGGGTTGAGGTGTTTAAGGCTTAGGGTTTAGGAGTTTAGGGTTTGGGGGTTTAGGTGTTTAGGGTTTAGGATTTGGGGTTTGGGGCTTGGGGTTTAGGGGTTTAGGTGTTTAGGGTTTAGGGTTTAGGAGTTTAAGGTTTAGGATTTGATGATTGGGGCTTGGGGTTTAGGGGTTTAGGGGTTTCGGGTCTAGTGGCCTTCAAGAGTCGAAAAGCGCTTCGAGAGTCTTTGGAGTGTCTGTGTTTGTATAGACACGCGCGTGAAACCATATATTTACATATATATATATACACACACATGCATACATATATATATATATATATATATATGTATATATATATATATATATATACATATATATATATACATATACACACACACATATACACACATAGAGACACACATGTAGAAATACACTTTCTGCGCCAAATGATGCCAACTGTGTGCAGCACCAAACATATCATGGGAAGCCTTCCGTCCCCGCAAAAGGTCACATCATATATCTGCCTAGTTAACAAGATGATTCCCCGGGGCCGATGGTTTGCTTTAGGACTTTAGGGCATGAGGGCCATGACTGCCCATCTCTGTGGCAGATGCTCTATGACTCTCAGCAGAACAAGACCAGCAAAT